ATTGCTTGGAAATTCATTCACTGGAGGATGGATGATGTCTCTAAACTCTTCGCCAGAATCTACAAACCATACAGCATAATTATATAGGATAACCAAGGAACTCTTTGATTACTATATCAATCCCACTCTGAATCAACACTATACATCTCAGTCTGTGCAGTATCACGTCATCCTGCCTAAAAGAACACCACCACCTCCCCCCTCTCATTCTTCCTCAACCGCAACCCCCGCCACAACTCCTTCTCCTCATCCCCCTTACTCAACAACGTCCTCCCCTCCCTCCCCACTCCATTGCCCTCCTCCCCATGCCCGCTCCCATGCCCGCTCCCATGCCCATTACTCCCCATCTGATACCACCGCTCATACCGCTCCCGATGCCACCGCTTCAACGCCTTGTTGACACTACACCCCCGCTCGCTCCCGGGGCCCTTCGTCACGAATCCCAAAAACATCTCCTGCCTTGCCGACGCCGTCGGAAACAAGCTCGTCAACCGCTGCGCCGCCTCCCCATCCTTCCGCACCCCAGTCGCCGCCCCGTTCCTATCCCCGCTCCCATTCGTCTGCGCCACCCCCATCCCCGCCACCCCGTGCGGATGCAACACCATCGCCCCCGCATCCCGCTCGGCGCTCCGCGATCGATCCCGATGGTATTCGATCGCCTTGAGCTTTCGAGTCGGCCGTCCGTCGCTGTCATAGCCATTCTCTTTGATCGCGCGGCGCTGTTTTCTTCGGCTGCGCCGCTCGCGATCGTGCTCTCGCTCGCTGTCGGTGTCGCTGCTCTCGCTACGGCGGCGGCGTTCGCGCTCCAGGTGGGTTTTGTGCTTGCGGACCATGACGAGCGCGCCGTCGGCGGTGACGCCGGTGGAGGCGGTGGCGTTGGTCTGGGCGGAGGAGCCCGAGGTGATGCGGCGGATGGTGTCCGTGACTCGTGATCGTCCTCGCTCCTTGTCCTTGTCCTTGTCTTTATCTTTCTCCTTCTCCTTCTCCTTCCGCTGCTCCCGCTCCGCCCGCCGCTGCGCTACATCTCGCACTAACCGCGAACTCTTCCCTTTCGCCTTTTCCTCTTCCATCCCCGCCTCCCGATCTCGCTCCCGCTCCCTCCACGCACGTGACTTTCGCACTTCCTCGGACATGAATCCTCCGTCCGCCTGCTTCGCCCGCTTCATCGGACTGAGCGGACTGTCCTGGACGGCGCCTCTAGGGTAGTCAGGCGACCCTGGGAACTCATGCCGATGGAGCAGCCGGGACAATCCGCCGGTAAGCCCGGTATGGAGGCCGGGCGTTGCTTCCAACGCGTCGGCCATGTGGATGTCGGCGGTGTGCGGCAGCGCGGCGGAGGTGGGACCGGAGTGCGCGTGATGGTGCTGGCGGGCGGAGAGATCGAGGTCCTCGACCGGGGCGCGCTTGCGCTTCTTCTTGGTGGTGCTGGTGCTTGGGGTGTCGTGGTCGAGGGACTTGGTGCGGTGGTGAGCGGGGGCCGGGGTCACGTATTTATAGTTTATAGCGGGTGCTCCGGGGGTGCGTGCGGAGGGTGGAGGAGGTAGGTCGTGGCTGTGGCCGTTGGGATACGGGGGAAGGGTGCCGTAGCTGTCGAAGCGGTCGAAGGTAGGTGGGACAGGCGCGGCGCCGTAGCCAAATCCGGATGATTCGTATTCTCTTTGAGAGGTAAATTCGGGGTGGAGGTCGTGAGGAGACTTGGATTGGAACTGGAAGGGGTTGGCTTTCGAGTCGTGCTTGTCCGAGTGCTTGTCGACCGACATGGTGTCTTGTTCCGGTTCTGTTTCCGCATGAGGCGCGTGGTCGATCATCCGCCCGTTCTCCTGTTCCAGCGCGAGAGTGTCGCGAGATTTGTTGTCGACGAGGAAGTCAAAGACATTGACGGGTGGTGGACTCGGGGCTGCGGGCGGCGCATCCACAATTGCGACGGTACCGGAGTCGACATCGAGGGCATCTTCGACATATGGTTTGCGAGGGACGAGGGATTGCGACGCGCCATTTGTTGTACGCGACTGCTGTTGAGCTTTGGTTTTCTTGCCTTTGAAAAGAGACCCTTCGTATTTTTGCGCTTCGGTTATACAGCTCTGAGAGGGAAATATGATCAGTTACTGGCCCAAATTGAATTTTCAATCGCATTTTGATCCTGAGATTCGTTTGCACTCGGTTTGCTTGTTGACGGGTCCGTCTGTTGCAGTGATGGTACATACGGTATGCGCTCGATAGTCTGTCCCATGGAAATAGGTATGGCAGTCGATACAAGTGTACGACGCGCCTCGACACTGGTTCCTATGCGGATCCAACTTCTTCTTCGTGAGAACATCGCCGCAGTTCTACAACACCGACATCCTTAGGTTAGCACAGGGCAATTTCGCATCGGGATTCTGACCCGACCGCCTCGCGCAAAGGGACCAATCAACCGGATGGCGTACCTCGCATGAAAACGACACCATGATGCACCGGATGCAGGTTCTGCTGCTGCGAACCCGTGCTGGATTCTGGTCTTGCAGTAGTCGGTCCCACTGGTCGCTCGCGTGCAAAAGTCGTGTCTTGGTGGGATTGGAAGATGAGGGGAGATGAAGGGAGAAGCGGTGTGTATCGGGATGAGAGAATGAGAAATGTGATTCAGGGATGAGAATTGGGAAAAGGGACGAAAGTGGAACGGGGGTGGTGGTGGTGGTCAATGTGGTGGTGGTGGAGACGAGGGGCAGCAGGGAGGAAGAATCTGAAGCGCTTCACCCCCTTACGCTCCACCACTCTGACCTCACCACTCACTTCCGTCCTCCAGGGACTATTATTACTACTGACTACTCCGTAACAAGTAACAATAAACTAACAAGTAACAAACAACACGCTAAGCGAGTAATCCTGCGCGTTTCGGATTAACCGCTCATCGCCAGTCCGCCGTGCGAGTCTGCATCGGGTGAAACCAGCCCTATATCCCCTCCTTCCTATTACTCTCCCCTACTATCGAACATGCGACCAACGCGGATTGGCGAGAGCCATCTGCACTCCTGCAGGCACTCCGAGATTACTCGAGCGATTCGGGGATTGGCATGCTGGCCTTGCATCCTCCCGCTTGCTGCATGCCGCATGATCCAGTCACGCGTAATCCATCGTCACCCTTGTCGATATGACGAAGCTAAGCCCTCCAAAGTCCAACCCGGGGAATGACCATAGGACGAGGGCCACCCCATGCCGTGATGTTTGGTGGTCATCGGTCATCCGTGGCTGTCGTGCCGTCGTGATGGAGCCGAATGTGGCTGACTGCATCGGGATGATCGGACTGGGATGCGATCGACATGCAATTTCCGTCGCGAGAGAGAAAACATGTGGACGGGTTCCGATCACTTGGTGAGCTAGGAGACTTCCGATTGTATCGCGATGGGCGTGATGTTGGAAGGTTTTTGGTTTGGATGGAATACTGCTGCTCACAAGACACACCGACCAAGGGTGTGTGGTCGGCTCCTAGGGATCGTGAAGGAGGGCAGGTGGCGGGCCTTGCCAGGTAGAGCTGTAGAAGAAGTATCTCCAGAATCATCCAAGGGTTTATCAAAGATAATACTCGATCTCACAGTACGACTGTTGAGTAGCGTATAGCTAATAGGACCATGAATGATGTGATTCTGAGGGAATGCCTTATTCTTCACCCAAATACTGAAACTGACTGGAGCAGAGCGAGTCCGTGGAGCAGAGCGAGTCCGGTAGCAAATTGCTAGGAAAAAACCAAGATATGCATTAAACTATCTACTAATCAGAAGAAACTTCTCCCTCGCTGCACTTCCGCTCCCCCATAACACCACACCCACCAACCATAAACCCCTACTATCCTACCTCGTCATCCATCCCCATCACCCGATCACCCTCTACCTACAACACCTTCCCCGCTACTGCACTCTGACTCCGATCCTTCATCTCCACCTTCTTCAACCCCTTCCCCTTTTGAATCTGCCCCAACAACGCCCCCCGATCCGGCGCTCCCCCCATCGACGGTGCCGGTGCCCCTCCCATCGGTGGTGGGGGAGGTCCTCCCATTGGGGGCGGCGGAGGCCCTCCCGGCGGGGGCGGAGGCGGCGCCCCTCCCATCGGCGGCGGAGGCGGTCCGGGCGGCGGCGGCGGCGACGACACGGTGATAGCGGGCGAGTCCGGGCGGGAGCCCTTGTTGTCAGTGGCGGATAGCGGGCGCGGGGGACCCATGGTGCCGAAGAGGATGGAGGCGAGCTGCTTGGCGGAGCCGCCGACGGGGGAGGGGCCTTCGTCGTCGGACGAGGAGGCGTCGGAGACCACGGACCAG